TAACTCCCCTCGAGCAGCTGGATGCAGAATTTGCCAGGGTTAAAGCATGGAGAGTCTGGAAGCTATCACGGATCCTCCATCAAGCTGAGCCCGCTGCTTGGTTTTTGACTTCTTTTATATTTGAAAGTCTGAGATTGGCTTTTTTGGACCTTAAGGCTTCATTCCTTGTGGATTTGAGTAGGTTACCTTTAGCAGGTTGCTACCCTGAGTACTTCATGAATTTTCCCCCTCAGCAGGTGGCTAGGAATTCTCCCTTGATTTTGGAATTAAGTCCCCCCTGAATAGATTCATGGGGAACTTATTCCTTCATTTGATCAAGATCATCTAACATGCCAAGCTTTTGCCTTAGTGCATTGAATCTTGCTTCATTCAGTGACTTGGTAAATATGTCAGCCAACTGCTTCTCTGTGGGAATGTACTCAAGTTTAATGGACTTCTTCTCAACATGTTCTCTAATAAAATGGTGCCTGATCTCAATATGCTTGGTTCTTGAGTGAAACACAGGATTGTGAGTGATTGCAATAGCATTTGTGTTATCACACATGATGCTAATCTCCTTTGCTTCTTCTACATAATCCTTCAATTGTTGTTTCATCCAGAGTATTTGAGCACAGCAGCTGCCTGCAGCTATGTATTCAGCCTCGACAGTGCTTGTAGCAATTGAGTTTTGTTTATTAATGAACCATGAAACAAGTCTTCCACCAATCAATTGACAAGTACCTGAGGTAGTTTTTCTATCAATTTTGCATCCAGCAAAGTCGGAGTTTGAGTATCCATAGAGTTCAAAACCTCCATTTGTTGGGTACCATAATCCAGAGTTAAAGTTACCTTTTAGATACCTCAATATATTCTTTGCATGTAGGAGATAGCTTTTTTTAGGCTTTGATTGAAACCTTGCACACACACCAACTGAGTAGGAAATATCTGGCCTACTAGTGGTAAGATATAACAAGGAACCAATGAAACCTCTATAAAGTGTGGGATCAACATGTTTGCCATCTTTGAATTTCTTCATGAGATCTCTTGTATATTTGGCTTGGTTGATGAAGATACCTTGTGGAGTTTGCTTCACTTTTAGTCCCAAGAAATAGTTCAACTCTCCCATCATGCTCTTTTCAAATTTGCTTTGCATGAGAGTTGAAAATTTCTCACATAATGCTTGGTTTGAGCTTCCAAAAATTTATGTCACCAACATATATTTGAACAAACAATATGTGGGAACCTTCTTCAATTTTGAATAGTGTCTTGTCTACTTTGCCTTCAGTGAACTCATTATTCACTAAATATTCAGAGAGAGTGTCATACCATGCTCTTGGGGCTTGTTTGAGTTCATAAAGAGCTTTATGTAGTTTGTAGACTAGGTCCTTCTCTCTATTGACTTCAAATTCAGGAGGTTGCTCCACATAGACCTCCTCTTCTAGTAGACCGTTTAGGAAGACACTCTTCACGTCCATTTGGTAGAAAATTCTTATTGCTTCTAATCTGGCAACAGGAGCAAAGGTTTCATCAAAATCTATACCTTCTTCTTGGCAATAGCCTTTGGTTACTAATCTTGCCTTGTTCTTGACAATTGTGCCTTCTCATCCATTTTGTTTCTGAACACCCATTTAGTTCCTATCACATGTTGATAATAGGGTTTGGACACAAGCTGACAAACATTGTTTCTTTCAAACTGGTTGAGTTATTCTTCCGTGGCTTGTATCCAGTCAGAGTGAAGTAGGGTTCTTCAATTTTCTTGGGTTCAGTTTGTGAGATCAAGCATGAGAATAATGGTTCTCTTTGAAGTGCTGATCTGGTTCGAACCCCTTCATGGATGTTTCCAATGATTTGGCGAGGAGGATGTTTGTTCAACCATCTAATGTGAGATGTGATTGTTTTGGTTTGAAGTTGGTGGTCATACTCCTCTTCTTCTTCTTCTTCTTCTTCTTCTTCTTCTTCTTCTTTTTCTTCAGTATCATCCGGTAGAATAGGGTGATTAGGAATATCATGAGTGCCTGGAAGGTTGTTCCTTGTTGAGTCACCTGCTGGCAGTGGCTGGAGGCAACTGCTGGCCGTGGGCTGTCGATTGAGTCAACTGCCGGCAGTGGGCTGCCATACGAGTCAACTGGTGGCAGTGGGGTGCCATATGACTCAACTGCTGCTTTCAAGGTTTCATCACCTTTTTGAATTTTATTAGGAATGCAGCTTGGAGCCTCTCCAGTATCCTTCTTTGATTTAGATGGCTCACCCTCAACAATCTTCTCACTGATGAGCAGTTTGCTATGTTTGTGATGAAATTCAAAAGATTCATGAGAAAAGAGGGAACTGTCCCAAAGAAGCCTTACAATCTGATAAAGATTTAGATGGCACACCTCATACGTTTTAAGATCAGTAAAGAGTTTGTCAGTTGACAAAGTTCTGAGATCTCTGCTATCTCTCATAGCAGCCACCTTCATGTCCCATTTTGAAGGCAGGCCTCTCAAGACCTTGAGGGAAATCTCCTTTTGAGATAGTTCTTAACATAGGTCAGAGACCTCTGCCACAATTTTCAGGAATCCGGATTCCATCTCATGGATAGATTCAGTTGGCTGCATCTTGAAATCCTCAAATTTCTTGAGGGCTATGGTCAGTTTATTATCCTTCTCCTGTTCATCTCTTGCTCCAATCTTTGTGAGCTCATCCCAAACATCCTTGGCAGTTTCATATTTCCTGATTCTTGGGAATATAGATTCATCAACAGATTTAAAGAGAATATCCTTGACAATGTTGTCAAGATTGTCTCTTCCTGTCCTCAGTTGTCCATTCCAATTTGGGTTTTGGAATGTACACATCCTCTTGATCATCAGTTTTAGACGTGCTGACCTTCATGATTTTGATAGGTCCAGCTGTGATCACTTCTAGCATTTCATCATGTAGGGCATTGAGATGTGCTTTCATCCTTATCTTCCAGTCATCAAATTTGTTCAAGTTGAACAAAAGATTCTTTGCTAACTGACTATCCATTTTTAGAAAGTGTTTGGGAAGTAGAGTGGTTTTGGATCTTTAGTTCAAATTAGTCAAAAAATGACTCTAGGAACACTCCGCTCTGATACCACTTGATGGTCCCGGATAGAGGTAAAAGTCTAGAGGGGAGTGAATAGACTTTTAAAGCTTTTTCAACTTTAAAAACTTTTCCTTTCTAGATGAGTTGATCTATAATCTTTTGGGAGATTTATAGATGCACAACGGAAGTATTTAACCTCTTAGATAAATAGTGTATAACAACTCTTAATGATGAATGAAGTTTGGACTTTATGTAGTGAGCAGTTGGCTTGGCAGTAGACTAGATGGCAGGGAACTGCTGAGGAAATATTGAGTGTATGATGAACTGCAAGCAGAATCTTTATTAGAATGAAAATGGCTTTCTGATGAAGTGATGATGTAATGAGATGGGTTGATAATCAATCTTAATGAGAGCAGTGGTCTCAGCAGTTATAATATTGAAAATGAAGATGTGTTTTAATACAAGTAATATTGCTCAGGGTTTTCCGAAGATGTGTTTTAATACAAGTAACTGAGAGTTTTATTGGAGCAGTGATCTCGGCAGTTGGGTGACAATGAGGGAACTGCTGAGGCACCTGCTGAGTTTCAGCTTAAGTTTCAGAGATTAATTTGAACAGACTCCTCGGTGGGAGTGTTGTGAAGGTCTGGTGAAGTTTGAGATGTTCAAAGGAAATAAGTTTGTATGAGCAGTGGGCTTCAGCAGTTGGGTAGACACCAGGGGACTGCTGGGCAACTGTTATGCTTTTAAGATGATTTCCTGAGATATGATGGAACAGACCTTTTAGTGGTGATAGTGCAAGACTCTTGTGGAAAGATTGTCTCAAAGAAAGTGAGTTATTAAGCAGTAGGGTCAATTAAGACTACTGCTTAGGATGCTGCTGTCAAACTACAATCTTTTATGAGAAGTGTTTGGTGTGTGCTTTGTTGACTGAAAATAAATCAACACACAGTATATCCTGGTTCAGAGGTGGTGTAATCCTCCTACGTTGTATAATCCTGGAAATTAAAAGCTTTGTATATTTCTTTAAAAGTTCCTTGTCCAGTACCTGTTACCCGTTCCGACCAATGTAATTTCCCTATTTGATTGGAACAGTTCTGCGCGGTATCCAACAGATTGGATATAATTTCCATACGTAGGGTTTAGTTTTGTCTCAGAATCGGCAGTTCGATGCATATTGATAGAAGCAGAAGAAAAACCTAGCAAACGATATTAGCGTCTGCCCCAGCCGTAGGCTTAAACCAAATCTTTATTCTTGATAATGAATAATAGTTCATAAGACATCCTTAAATATATTCTCTTAACCTAATAATCCAAAAACAACTCCAATAAAAATAAACTAGGCCCAGTCCAGTTTAAAAATAAATAATTAAATGTAATAAACTCCAGCAGTCAGTCCAGCACAACTAGGCCCGCTGACGGCACCGTTAGACTAATAACGGGCGAGGCCCGTCTTCCTGAAGCACCGGCCCAGTTGCCTCCTTCTGGAGCATCGGCCCAACTGCCTCCCGCTCTCTAACACATGTGCATTATAGTTCAATTCTCTACCCCCCCCCCCCCCCCCCCCCCCCATCTTGGACTGGATTCCAGTTCTTACATGGTATTACAGTACCCGACACGTAGCCATGATGTGGCCTAACTTTGAGGGCTGTTGATAAGTGCCTCATCGACATAATGTAAATGTTTGAAGCCCTTGATAAGGATGAGACAATTTTTCTTTTTGAAAACTCCTTTGAACTTGAAGGAGAAAGAGAGAAATTATAGGAGTGGTTTATCAATAGTTGCAGCTTGCTCTAGGAGAAGGAGAAAACATAGGAGTGTTTTTTCTCGTACTGGGATCATTTTCTACTGCAGGTGTTGTGGCTGAGCTCAGGGTTTTGTTATATATATTATTAAGTCTTGGTTGGAGTTTTTACCTATCTTTGTCTTTTTAACTTTTTAATTGCTGACTGACTGATTTTAACCATATACTATCTTGAAGGGTTTAGAGATTTGCTTAGAAAGACCTTGGAGAAGAGAGACAATGCATAATCTTGTGAAAGAAGCTACAGGAATTGATTTTAACCAGTTTGGGGATGATCTTACAGTTGCTAAAGAGCATGTTCTTCAGTTAGTCAATGTTTTTGGGGGAGACCAACAGAAAAGCTGCATTGAAGCATGTCAAACTGTTGGCCATTTGCTTAATGAGGTTAATCTTGGCAAGCCTGAATATCTTATTTTTAAATTGCGAGTGTAATGGGCCGGTGTCCTTTATCACAAAAAATAAAATAAAACTGTTATCAGTGTAATTGGTGTTCCACTTAGAGATCTGAAAGGAGAATACAATGCGGAGAAGTGTTTCACCTCAAATCCTCCTGTTTCAGGTCTTTGAGATGGCAGTGGAACCAAAGCTTCTACAGCCTACGTTTGTTTTGGATTATCCCATAGAAGTATCACCATTTGCCAAGCCCCATAGAAGGTAGAATTATCAACTTTTCTTCACTATCACATGCCCACTTGTTCACATTTTGCATTTTAATAATTGCAACACTTGATGATTATTTAAATATAAATTTCACTAATTTTGGAATAACGTATTCTGCCTCAATGGCTTATGCCATAGCTTACGCACATACTTCTTCCATTCCATTTTCAGATTTTTTGCTGTGTGAATTACACTCGTTCAACAACAACAACAACATCCAAGTCTTATTCCCAAAAGATTTTGGGGTCGCCTAACATGAATCAATCCATGATATTAGAACCCAAAAGAAAAGAAAGATAAGAAGAATAAAAGGATAAAGTAAGATAAAATGGATAAGATAAAGGTAGATATAAGATAAAAACAACATAAGAACATAAGAAATAAAAAGATAAAAGAGCACAATTATTATATATCAGAATGATGAGATGCATTATTATACGTAGTAGTATATTATAGGACATTAAATATTACTCCCTCTGTTTTTCTAACTTTGTCTCATTTTACCTTTTTCATCCGTCCCATTAAGTTTGTCCCATACCATATTTGGAAATATTTGGGTGGTTACCATTCATTCTTACTTTATTTACACTTTATCAATTCAATACCAACCACACGATTCACATTTTTCTTAAAAACCGCACCACACCCTCTTGTCCCAATCTTAGTGGGACGGAGGTAATAAAATATATCAGATGGGATATCGATATCATAGATCGATATCCTTTTTTGGTTTTATGCCTGGACGCTCAACAACTGAGGTCATTCAACTTCTTAGATAAGTTGTGGAGAAGTATAGAGACACTAAAAAGGATCTGCATTTGGTGTTCATTGACTTAGAAAAAGCATATGATAGGGTACCTCGAGAAGTTCTTTGGTGGGCCTTAACTAGAAAAGGCATATCGCGTAAGTATATCAGCATCATCATGGATATGCATGATGCTTGTACTACAAGTGTCCGCACTAGTGTAGGGAGGACCGCAGAGTTCCCTATCACCAAGGATCTGCTCTGAGTCCTTTCTTATTTGCTTTAGTCATGGATGAACTTACGAAGTCAATTCAGGAAGATATACCGTGGTGCATGATGTTTGCCGATGATATTGTATTGATTGATGAGACACAATCCGGTGTTGAGCAAAGTTGGAAGTATGGCGACAAACATTGGAGAGCAAGGGTTTCAAACTGAGCCAAAGCAAGACTGGGTATATGGAGTGCAAGTTCGGTGGAGGTAGAAGCAATAGCAACAGTGGGATTACTCTTGATGGTAAGGAGATACTGGTGTGTGATATGTTCCGTTATTTGGGATCCATAATTCAGAAGGATGGTGAATTAGATGGAGATGTATGTCATAGAATCAGAGCTGGGTGGATGAAATGGAAAAGTGCTTCAGGATTTCTATGCGATCGAGGTATGCCGACTAAACTGAAAGGTAAATTTTATCGTACAACAATTAGGCCGGCATTAATGTATGACGTAGAGTGTTGGGCGGTGAAGCAATGCCACATTCAAAAGATGAGTGTGACAGAGATGCGTAGGTTGCGTTGGATGTGTGGACATACCAGAAAAGACCACCTGCGGAATGAGGTAATCAGACAAAAGGTGGGAGTAGCACCTATAGAAGATAAGATGCAGGAGTCTCGTTTGCGGTGGTTTGGTCATGTGCATAGAAGACCGAGTGATGCACCTGTTAGTCGACTTGAGGGGTGGGGAGAAGAGTCAGAGAAGAGAGGGAGGGGAAGACCCAAACAGACTTGGATTAGAGTAATCAGAACTGATATGCGTCTTCTTGGGTTGGATGAGAGTATGGCTTTGGAGAGAGCAAAGTGAAGGGCACACATCCATGTGGACGATTGATGTCTTGTCTACCTTTCCTCTATTGTTTCTTTTATCGTTTATCTTCCTTATCTTTTTATATTCTTATGTTATTTTTATCTTCTAGTTTTTTTATGCTCTTTTATTTATTTTTCTTTTATCTTGGTTATATTCTTGTGTTATTGTTATCTTATATTTATGTATCTTTATTTTATTCATTTTATCTTACTTTTTTTCCTTTTCTTGTCCGCCTTCTCTTTTTGGCATCGATATCATAGATCGATTCATGTTAGCCGACCCCAAATTCTTTTGAGATTAAGGCTTGGATGTTGTTGTGGTAAGAAATGAATTTGTTCCTTCTTAGATGGGCGGATGGCTTATATAACAAATTTTATCCAATGTCAGGAATGGAACAGAAAAATTATATTTTTCTTATTTTGTCATTTTTCAGATATTCAGGGTTAACTGAAAGATTTGAACTTTTCATTTGTGGTCGTGAGCTGGCGAACGCTTTCTCTGAACTAACTGATCCTCTAGACCAGGTTTTATTCATTTCTCTTTTGGATTTGGTTTCTTCCAACAGACTTTAGTCCATCTTGTATGTAGAGAGAACGTAATTAGCCTAAAATGCTTTTGGGGTGATACAAGTGAATGGAATTAATATGTATGATGCTTGAAGTGGTATGATGGTATCACACTATCACATTACTAAAGTCTCACCTTCTATGTCATATTTCATCATTAAGGTGGATGTGCTTCTTTTGTATCTTCTATTTTGATTATAATAATGGTTCTTATGACTGTAATAGCATTAATTTACTTCAATGATGTAGCTCTGCGGTTGCATAAACTTTATAATCTCGCAAAAGGTCTGGAAAATTTATCATTATTATTTTGAATAGCAAATGATCCCCGGCTTAACAGGTCAAGTAAAAAGCCCCACAGGCTTACAGTTAGGTGCTCAAGTCTTGACCCACTAATACCACCCTTAATGAATGGGAGATTTCCCAAAATAGGAGTAAATAATGTTTGAAATTCCAAAATAGGACTACTTTGTTTTTATTCCCGAAATGGAACTAACATGACAGTATTTACTGTCATCTTATAGCCGTGACTGCCAAATAGTTGCAGTACAGTGCATTTAACATGACAGTATTTATTATAATTAATGACAATATTTTTCAATCATGGCAGTATTTTTCATACATGACAGTAATAACTCCTATTTCGAGAAGAAAAACATACTAATCCTATTTTTGGAATTCCAAGTGTCATTTGCTCCTATTTTGGGTAATTTCCCTTAATCAATAGGTAAAGGAGTTTCTTATGCTCCATTTCAATTTTTTGTGTATTTATTTAATACAACAACAGGCCTTGATCCCAAAGAGTGGGGTCAGGCGGTAAGCTACATAAGCCAATAGAAAATCTCCTGAAGTTTTCCAGTAATATCATCATAATATCTCTATTGTTGACTTACTTTTATGGTCATTTTAAGTCTACCATACCAACTCTTTAACTTGGTAGTTGGTACTCGCTTACCTCTTCATCAATGATTGCTGCATCTCAAGAAAGAGTGCTGTTGTATTGACTAATTCTCCCAGTCACTTGCATGGGTGCAGAAAAGCTTGATAGTTGTAGTACTGAGCATAACTACACTCTTGTTGGTGGAGTGCTGTTCTACACTTTATGCTGAATTTCTTGATTGTTTCTCTGTGGTTGTTGCAGAGAGGACGATTGGAAGAACAAGTGAGGCAGCATAATGACAAAAGAGATGTTGAAGGAAAGGAGAACAAGAAACCTGATGACTCTTCTGAAATCACTCTTGATGAAGACTTTCTAACGGCTCTAGAGTACGGGATGCCTCCTGCTTCTGGAATGGTATCTTTTACCAATTACTCTTCTTTTTTCTTATAAATCCCTAGCTCGCTACTCGCTAGAATCTTTATTGACCATTCTTCAATCTTCACACTAATTACAGTCATTACAACACATCATGGTTATTATGCTAAAGAAGATAGATAAAGTACCACCTTCGCAATAATGACTATTTGGGGAAAGAAATATAGTACTCTATTTTGGAATTTCAAATTATTTTTACTCCTATTTTGTTGTGCTTGGATGCTGAAATAATAGTCTCTCTGTCCCGCTGAGATTGTTTCCTTTTTCCTTTTCAGTCCGTCCCATTAAGATTGCCTCATACCAAATTTGATAAAGTTTTTTGTGGTTCTAAATCATTCATACTTAATTTTTACTTTATCAATTTAATAACGACCACATAAACCCACTTGTATTAATAACCGCACCATCTCCTCATGCCCCAATATTAGTGGAACGGAGGCCGTAATAATAATAATGCTTGTTGTTATTGTTGTTAGCAGTGTGAGTGTCATTACTAGAAGTTGTTTCCTAGTAGTTTAGGTATTCTATTTTAGTTAGTAATCTTAATCAATCTAATGTAATTTTAGAGTTGCTCCAATAAGAGCCACCAAGACTCATGGGACTAGTATAAAACTATAAATAGATGTTGAGTTCTATAACGAACAAGATCATCAATATTTTGAAGTAATAAATAGACACAGGTGTGGTAGAGACTAGAGAGTCACGGGTGTTGGTTCCACCAAGTGCACAAGAATTGTTACTCCAAAGATTGATGGTGTTATTAATAAATAAAACACCTCTCTATATAGTGTGTGTGTGTGTGTCCCAATAGGTTTAGTAGCCCAGTATTAGAGTAACTTGTGACCTACACCCTCCGTCCCGCTAACAATGGGACAAGAGGGGTGACACACAAATCAATAAAAAGTGGTTTATGTGGTTGATATTGAATTGATAAAGTAAAAATAAAGTAAGAATGATTTAGAGCCACCCAAACTTTATCAAATTTGGTATGGGACAATCTTAGTGGGACGGACCGATAAGGTAAAATGAGACAATCATAGCGGGACGGAGGTAGTATTAGAGTACTTTTATTAAGAATAGTAACTAAAATTTAATATCTAAACTAATAGGAAACTGCTAATAGTATAAAAATAATAGGACAGTAACACTAATAATATTAATAAGAATAGCAATAACAACTACAATACAACAACATCCAAGCCTTAGTCCCAAAAGATATTGGGGTCGGCTAACATGAATCGATACATGATATCACAACCAAAAGGAAAAGAAGGAATAAAGATAAAAAGATAAGCTATTATGAAAAGATAATATAAAAAAGATGAATATATATAAAAATGATAAAATAAAAAGGCTGCAAATAATGCATATATATATAAGGATAAAAAAAACTAGGAAAAAAAAGATGAGGGAAAAAGATTATCAAGATCACTCATTCACGTGAATACCCGCCCCCCCGCCCTCCACTTAGTTCTCTCCAAAGTCATGCCCTCATCCAACCCCAGAAGAAGCATATCACTTTGAGCTCCCCTAACCCACGTCTGTTTGGGTCTTCCTCTCCCTCTCTTCCCTGTCTCTTCTCCACACATCTCAACTCGCCTAACAGGTGCATCACTCGGTCTTCTACGCACATGACCAAACCACCGTAGGCGCGACTCCCGCATCTTGTCTTCAATAGGTGCTACTCCCACCCTTTGTCTGATTGTCTCATTCCTCACGCGGTCCTTCCTAGTATGCCCACACATCCAACGCAGCATGCGCATCTCTGCCACACTCATCTTTTGAATGTGACATTGTTTCACCGCCCAACACTCTACGCCATACAGTAATGCAGGCCTAATTCCCGTCCTATAAAATTTACTCTTCAGTCTAGTCGGCATACCTCGGTCGCATAGAAATCCTGACGCACTCTTCCACTTCATCCACCCTGTTTTGATTCTATGGGATACATCTCCATCTAACTCACCGTCCTTCTGAATTATGGAGCCCAAGTAACGGAACATATCGCTGACTGGTATCTCCTTACCATCCAGAGTAATTCCGCTATTACCACTACTTCTACCTCCACCAAACTTGCACTCCATGTACTCTGTCTTGATCCGACTTAGTTTGAAACCCTTATTCTCCAATGTTTGTCGCCATACTTCCAACTTTGCTTTAAGACCTGATTGCGTCTCATCAATCAATACAATATTGTCGGCAAACATCATGCACCACGGTATATCGTCTTGAATTGACTTCGTAAGTTCATTCATGACTATGGCAAATAAGAAAGGACTCAAGGCCGATCCTTGGTGCACTCCGATAGTAATAGGGAACTCTTCAGTCCTCCCTACACTAGTACGAACACTTGTAGTACAATCCTCATACATATCCATGATGATTCTGATATACTTGCGTGATATGCCTTTCCTAGTTAAGGCCCACCAAAGAACTTCCCGAGGTACCCTATCATATGCCTTTTCTAAGTCAATGAACACCAAATGCAGATCCTTATGAGCATCTCTATACTTCTCCATAAGTTGACGAAGAAGGTGAATAGCCTCAGTTGTTGAGCGACCAGGCATAAAACCGAATTGATTCTCTGAAATCTATACATCATCTTTATTCTTAAATAAAGGGATAAGAGTACTCTTCCTCCAACTCGTTGGCATCTTGTTGTTTCTCCAAATCATGTTGAAGAAACTTGTTAACCACTCGACGCCTCTCTCTCCCAAACTTCTCCAAGCCTCGATCGGTATGCCATCTGGCCCCATTGCTCTTTTCCGTCCCATCTTCCTCAGAGCTTCCTTAACTTCTGTTGTTTGGATCCTTCTCACAAAATCACGGTTTACCATACAATCTGGTATGGACAAATCGCCGATATCTTGCGTTTTGTTCCCGTTGAATAGTGTATCAAAGTATGACCTCCACCTCTCTTTTATCTCTCCGTCGTCCATTAATATCCTCTGATCAACATCCTTCACACACTTAACTTTTGCAATATCTTGAGTTCTGCGATCACGAAGACGAGCAAGTCTATAAATATCTAGTTCTCCTTCCTTAGAGTCCAACTTTTCATACAACTCCTTGTTCACTTTCCCTCGTGCTTCCCTTACGGCTTTCTTTGCTTGTCTTTTAGCCTCCTTGTATGCTTCTATGTTCTCTCACTCCAATTTGTCCCCAACTTTTTGTAGCAATCTTTTTTGTTCCTTATGGCTTGTTTCACCTCATCATTCCATCAAGATGTGTCCTTTTTAGGTGGCCGACATCCTTTAGATTCTCCAAGTACCTCCTTTGCCACTTTGTTAATGGTCAACTCCATTGATAACCACACATCATCCACCTGTGTTTCATTATCAATACGCCATACATCTTCACTGACCATTTTGTGTGTTAAGCTTTGTTGAAGATCTCCCTCTAGCCTCCACCACTTTATCTTTGGCTCCACTTGTTGTTTAACTTGTCTTCTATGGTTCTTACCTCGAAAGTCAAGCACAAGCATCCTATGCTGAGTGACAACACTCTCACCTGGAATAATCTTACAATCAGTGTAGCTAGTTCTCCCAGTGGTCCGTACTAAGAAGTAGTCAATTTGGGTACTATTAGCTCCACTTTTATAGGTTACAAGGTGAGAGTCTCTTTTCCTAAACCAAGTGTTCATTATAGCCAACTCATACGTCAAGGCAAAATCCAAAATGTTCTTTCCCGCCTCATTCCTAGTTCCAAAACCATGTCCGCCATGAATATTCTCAAAGCCATCACGACTCGAGCCCACATGCCCGTTGAGGTCACCTCCTATGATCAACTTCTCTCCCCTTGGCACTTGTCGCACCACGTCTTCAAGATCTTCCCAGAACTGTTGAGTTGTAGATGCATCCAATCCCACTTGTGGTGCATAGGCACTTGCCACAGACACAATCTCACCTCTTATCACCAATTTAATGCTCATGATGCGATCGTTCTTCCTGAAGACTTCTACCACATCCTCAACATAGTCACGCGCCACAATAATGCCTACCCCATTTCTAGCAATAACAACTACAATAATATTCTAAAAAATACTTCAATAATAATAGCAATATTAATAATAATAATAATAATAATAATAATAATAATAATAATAATATAAGACTTTTTTGCCCATATCAATTTGTTTGGATAATATTAAATTTTACGAAAGATAAAAGTCATTTATTAGTAATCAGCTGACCCTTGAATCTCTATTCCTGGCCGCCTATGTTATTCATTAAGCTGGAACGAAATAATAACATAATGGAAACCCTTTCTCTTGGTTTAACAAATACTGTGAGCCCATTTGGTGAGCATGTTTTTCGGCTTATTAGCCAGCTTTTTCACCAAACACACAATTTTTTATTTCGTGCGCTGAATTATGTAATAATAAGAAAAGATAAGGTTGAAGTTACTTTTCTGGCTGTATTGGCTAAAGCTACGGTAGCGGATCATTTTAGCTATTTTGTCATGTAATTTTTTCTTTATTTAATCAATAAGAAATATTTTAAATATAATTTTTAGATAAATCAGCAGAATCAGCCACTTCAGCTAGAACTTCATAAGTTACAGCCGAATCAGTCAATTTTGGTATTACCAAACAGGCCTTGTGTGTCTCTAACTTATCATTAAGTTCCAGGATTCTATACAGTCAAGAGTCGTATATGCATATTTGGTCTCATAATCACCACTCATTCTCACAATGGGGTCAACCCACTATGATAATCAATTAATTACAAGACGAGAGTATTGCTTGATGCTCATAGAGAAGGGCTCATTAATTGATAATTTGTTTTTCTTTTCTAGAACATGAATTTAGCAAATGGGAAACTAAAACCAGGACATTATTAATAGGATGGTGAATTAATTTAGTGCATATCTTGTAAAATCTAAGCATGACTGGTTTTCAGGGACTGGGCATTGACAGGCTAGTAATGCTTTTGACAAACTCTGCCAGCATCCGTGATGTTATTGCTTTCCCGGTTCTCAAGATCCAACAGTAATTTATTGAGTATTAATTGAAAGTTCCCTTATTGAAGGGAATATTTAGTTGAAATCATAGGACTGAACGCTTTCGTTTTCTTCATAGGATCTATGGGTACATTATCTTCTTATGGATGCAACGAAATTACTTTGAATGATGATTCTCATTCTTCTGTCCATTATACTGTTTTTTTGTATAACAGATCGACTTTTCTGATCAAGCAACGTTTTATTTACACTACTGCTGTACTGCACACATAAGCCTTCCCAAAGTAGATGTGAAAGGGTTGTGGTGCCGAGCTTACATTGTTTGATCATTATTGCCTTGTTTGCATGTTGTTTATGTTTAAAAAATGTTTTTAAACAATATAAGCACCCAAATTATCCTCTATTTTCATGAGAGAAGTTCAAGAGGTACTGACTGCTGACTACTGAATATGCAAGTAAAAAGGCATCTGTATTTCTACAATACCCATTATTAGTGGACTATTCCGGTCCACATACTAGCTGGTCCTTGCCTAATTATACTAGGGACATGGACCTATAATACCGGTTCCGGGCTGGTCCCGAACTTGCGAGTTCCAGTCTGGTCGTGTGTTTTTTGGTTTAACTTTTTTATTAGAGGTGTATACTCCCTCCGTACCATTTAGATCTTTACACTTTTTTTTGCGTCACATTTAGACCTTTACACTTTTCTTGTTTTCTTTTTAGGATGTACCTTTTGAATCTTTACGTTTCCTTTTTGGTAATTCTTTTTAATTTAACTTGCCCAAATTACTCTATACTGCTCACTCACATTTTACAAAACCTTCTTGTTTTATTCTCCGCACAAAATCTCCAGGATACCATCCTCTTCTAGATGTGTCACCATTGCTGTGCAAAGGTGTGCTGAACACTGGTTGCTGAAAATCGTGAGCTTTACCCATAATTTCATCATCGTTGGCTCGTTGCATTCATCTCGTAGCTTGTGATAATGAAACTCATCCAGCCTGCTCCTTCCCCTGTCGGCTGTCGCAGATGCGTTGTGATTTTGGAGATCTGGATACGTCCTCACTTCTTGGGCGGCAGCCACAAGATCGCGTCGCCAGTCACTGCCCCTCCATTGAAGTTCTACCAGTCAGCTAATGGCACAATTGCACACAGTTGTGGTTCTCATCCATGGAATTGCAAAACACAATGAAAAACTCACGGACACATGACTCCATCCATGAAATTGCAAATCGTAAGAGCTATGGATACGAATACGCCGATACGCGAATACGGGTACGGCAATACGGCAATTTAAAAAATTGTAAGATACGGGTACATGATATATTTATAAATAATATTATCGGGTATAATTTGCAAATATATATATAATGCAGAGGTTCATAAATAAAACAATAATAGTACCAAAAATGAACAATTACAGATAATAAAGTATTGATATTTCGAGTTAAATTCAAATAATATTTTTAGTTCTCTGTTTGCATTTACATCTAAGTCTTTTAACAATATTGATTTCAATTATAGCTCATCAAGTGACAAAATGGCAAATTATAGTATTACAATATTTTGCATACTCCCAAGATCATCTGTATCAATGTTCCACATATTGTGGTCTTTTAGGTGGCTACTAAATTTTCGTCATGAATGAAATGAGGGTTATATGGTTAGATACACGTATCGGTTCACGGATACCAGGGGTGGACTCGGGTCCGGGCCAGGTCCAGGTCGGGCCTAGGCCTGGGAGGGCCGGCGGTTCAGAAATGGTGGACTCGGGACCGGCCCGGGTAACCACCGGGTCCGGTCCGGTCCGGGCCCATTATATTTTTTTTCTGTTTTCCTCTTCCTAATTAACCCCCCTCCCACCCCTAACCCCCCAAACCACCCCAAATGGCCCAAAATACCCAGCCCAACCCGAAAATTAAAAAAAAATTGAAAAAAAAATAGGTTTTGGCCCGAACCGGGCCAGGCTCGGTCGGGTCGGGCCTTGTTTTGGGTGACCCGAGCCCGGACCGGAAAACCCACGGGTCGGGCCTACCTGGACAGGTCACTGACCGGGCCACCGGGTCGGGCCGAGCCGGAACAGTACCGGTCCCGGGCCAGTTCCGGGTCGGGCCACCCGGCCCGAGTCCACCCCTAACGGATACAGATATCGGAAGTATTTGTATATTTAAAAATAATCCAAATACTTTTATTAAATTATAGATACGGACCCAATACGTACATGACGCGTATCAATGAGTATCAGTATCAGATACGTATCGGATACGTGGATACAACATTAAGGTGAAGTATCGATGCACCATAGCTTAATAGTGGATGTTTGATTGTCATGGTAAGTGTATTGATTTACCATGCTCTCAGCTCTCGTTTTGCAATTTGTCAAGTCATACGGAGCAATCCAACAAATTTGTCAAAGTCATATGTGAAGGAAGTGGTGAACTAGGGGTGGATTGGGACGGGTCGGGCTTCGGGGTGGGACTGGGTGGGCTCCGGGTCCAAAAATTTCAGGCTCGATACCGGCTCGGGTATGTACCAGTATCGGGTTGGGCTACTCTGTCGGGCTTCAGTCTGGGCCTGGGTCGGGCTATTTTTTTCTTTTTTTTTGAATTAAATCACAAGTGCTACCAAAAAAAATTATATGTATGTTTATTGAAATATGAAGTGCAATTTATAATTGAAAATAATCTCAAAAAATAAATACATTTGGTAAAAATCAGTCGGAATTTCCGCCAGCGTCGGTTGTTTTCTCCATGAAGTGGCGGTCGGGGCGATGCAAACTTCTTGAATTCTACGCCGTGCCTTCAATCAATCGTGAAAGCAAATAAGCGTCTCAAGAGATTGGACGCTCAGTCTTGTTCTATAATCGGTGAGGACGTTGTCGCTTGCGTTAAATTCTTGTTCCACGAATCCACGAGTACTGTTTACACTGACATTGATAGCACTTGCTTCGCCATCTTCGATATCTCCTTCCTTCCGTTGTGGGTCAGTTCACCCATATCTACATTCGTCTACCACGGTCCATCTTAATATGTACTATGTAACAAATATTAAATTCTAACAAGTATTTAAATGTGTGTACAATTACAATGTAACTAATATAAAAATGTAACTAAAGTTTTACTTTATGCGAGAAAATGTGAGTGTAATGTAACAAAAATGTAACTACTTTAATCTAACAACTTTTATATGATTAAATCTAACCATATTTGTTAGACATTAATATCTAACAAATATGGTTAATTAATATGATAATGTGACAAGTATAGTAAAATTAACTAAAATGCAACTACTTTAGTAGTTTAATCTAACAACTTTTATGTGGTTAATATTAATGTCTAACAGATATGGTTAATTAATATGATATTGTGAAAAATATAGTAAATGCAATTTAAATGCAACTACTATTAACAATTTCAAATGTAACTAAAATGATAATAAAATAAAATGAGAATGTAACAAATAATATAAAATGAGAATGTAACAAATAATACAAACTGCAGCTCATTTTGTTCTTACACAAATATTTCTTTTTTAAAGTTGTTTACATAAAGTTACTTTTTAAAAGTTTGAAATAATAATGTGTTTTTACTTTTGTTTTTGCAAATGCAGGTGGATGTCAAGTCAAATTCAAAATCATGGAGCCCAGAGGGGGAGTGTGAAAAGGGTTGCCGGCTTCTTGAGACCGGAGGTTCTGGGAAGAGGTTCTCGGAAAAGTTTGGGAAGAGGTTCTAGGAAGAGGTTCTGGGAAGTCTGAGATTGGAGGTGGTTCTTGAAGACAGAGTGGAGCCTAGAGGTTCTGAAGAGTCTGGATTGAAATCAATTTCTTGGAGAAAGAACATAGTCTGAAAACTAAAGTGAGATATGACAAACTAAACTGAAACCAGAGAAGAAAGACTAAACTGAAATGGAAGACTTTAACTAGAATAATATTAAAGATGAAATATTCTTATACAAGATGCTATAAAATTATAATGTCTAGAGTATATTCCTAAAGCATATTCTTAGATACAATAATTCTTTCACATTACTAATTTAGTGTTTATAATATTTCAGGGGATGAAGATGAAAGTGTAATACAGACAGATGAAGACAAGTTATATTTTATTCTATCTTGTCCAGTTATAGTGCTTAATAGGCAAAAATTAGTTGTAACGACGTCATACTAATATTTATTCACTAGCTATGGTTTATGAATTAGTCCTGGGAAGTTACAGATGTAATCAAGTTTCTGAATGACTAAACTTTGTTTTTATTGAAGTTGTATAATTCTAGCATGAACTCATTCATGTGTCCTTGTTTTTACTACCAAAACCGTGAAGCATCATACGATGTACATTTTAATTTTTGCACATCTGTAATAGCATATCACAATGTGTATTATAATAGTTTTATTTACAAAATGCAGTGATGTTAATAGCGCGTGATAGCGGTGCTATAGCGGTGGTGCGGAGCGGCGGATATGGTTGTTGCTACCAGACAACCTGTAGCGTGGTGAAAAATAAAAAATGTAGCGTGGCGTTTGGGTGTAGCGCTATACTGGTAGAGGCGAATGCTATAGTGGCACATTTTTGGAAATGAAGGTCTACTAGGGTTTCTTGCGTATAATTTAAAACTGCTGAGGGAGAAGGGCAAATTAGTCTTTTTAAAATTACATATTAACCACCTTAAAACGTTTGTACTAATATTTTTTCACTAGCTATGGTTTATGAATTAGTCCTGCGAAGTTACAAACGTAATCAAGTTTCTGAATTACTAAACTTTGTTTTTTATCGAAGTTGTATAATTCTAGCATGAACTCATTCATGTTAGTTTGTATAATCATGTTTTTAGGGAGATTTCCCAAAATAGGAGTAAATGAAGTCTGGAATTTCAAAATAGGACTACTATTCCCGAAATATGACTAACACGGCAGTATTTACTGTCATCTTGTAGGCGTGACTGACAAATAGTTGCAGTACAGTGCATTTAACTTGACAGTATTCATTATAATTAATGACAGTATTTTTTTATCATGACAGTATTTTTTCATACATGTCGGTAACAACTCCTATTTCGCGAAGAAAAATAAAGTAGTCCTATTTTGGAATTCTAAACCTCATTTACTCCTATTTAGGGAAATTTCCCTTGTTTTTTTTACCAAAACCCTGAAGCATCATACAATGTACATTTTAATTTTTGCACATCTGTAATAGCATATCACAATATTTATTATAATAGTTTTATTGACAAAATGCAGTGATGTTAATAGCGGTGCTATAGCGGTGGTGTGGAGTGGTAGACATAGCTGGCGCTACCAGACGACCTGTAGCGTGACGTTTGGGTGTAGCGGATATAACGAGTGCGCTATACTAGTAGAGGCGGACGCTATAGTGGCACATTTTTGGAAATCATGAAGGTCTGCTAGGTTTTTTGTGTATAATTTTTTACTGCCGAGGTAGAAGGGCAAATTAGTCTTTTAAAATTACATATTAACCACCTTAAAACCTTTGTACACGTGCGTACAAGTGCAGATTCCTTAAAAACAGATATGTCATTGATGAGCACTTTGTCACGGTGCGTCAAAATAAATTCAATACTAACACTTATACGTAGTATAGCGTAGTAGAGTTCGTATCCACAGGGAAAGGAAATAATTCTCTTTTTATGAACTTAATAAATAAAAAGGGGGTTTTGGGTTTGAATGATTTAAGTTAATTAAGAACTAAGATGAACAACCTATATGTGTTAAATTCAAAGATAAAAAGGACTTGACATTACTACTTTCCACTTGTTGATATATTTTAGTCGATCATTGTTATATCTATAACTTATTCCCTCTTGAATACTCAATCGGGGAGTATATCCACTTCATCGAGGGTAGTTATTAACAACAACCGTTCATTAATAACCCTTACTATTAATCGAATATAGAACAACGCCTTATACTGATTTAATAGTAGCATTTAATCTTTCTAACTCCTAGATGAAATCAATTGAGATTGATAACCTCAACACAATGGTTTCGGTTTAACCAACAAAATTAATCCCTCTTAAGTTTATTAATCACGACCGTGCATTCATAAACCGAAGTTATTTACTTGTGAAACCATCAACGATTAACAATCGTTTCGTTGATCGTTTCTAGTAATAATTAATATATGAAACAAAACTAGTTGATCCATTAAGTAATGTTTAAAATATTAATATGAAATATGAATAGAAATTAATACATATTCAAGGAAGAATATTATTAAAGAAGATGAATCCTACTATAATTAATATCAAGATGTTAACTAATTGTCATCTTAGTAACACTCCCCAAAATTAATATAGAGGAAGAAAATACTATTCTAACTAATGTCGAGATGTTAACTAATTGTCATCTTAGCAACAATCCCCAACATTAATATAGAGATGGTATTAAGGAAAGAACTATTAATTAATATTCAAGGAAAGAAGTTAAGAAAATAACTCACAATTTTAATAATCAACAAGCTTCAAGAGCAACACCAAGAATGGAAGTTTAGCTCCTCATTTGGAGACTAAACATAGCTAGAAAAATAGAAAGAAATGCTATTCTAAACTGAGCTTAGGAGTATGGAAGAAGGGATGATTTTTAGAGAAGAAAAAGTGTGCTATTTATAGGTGTTTTTCAACAGCTTTGGCCGGGTACCCGACCGGGTCAAGTACTTACCCGACCGGGTCCGGTCAAAATCAGATAATCTGCCACGTTCTGGTGATCTTCACACGTCGTTTTGTCCCGGGTCACATCTGACCCGACCAGGTCAAGTAGGGGACCCGACCCGGTCCAGTGATTTTCTTGGCAATTTCGTCTGTTAAATCATACCCGACCGGGTGGGGGTTTCTACCCGGTCGGGTTTTACTCCTAGGCAGTCAAATTTCTTGTTTTCTTCTCTTCAAAGTCTTCCTTTCCAACACCACAAATCCTAACAATACTTTACAACTTATAAATAAAGACAAAAATACAATTACAACTGAAATCACATAAATGTTTACAAACTAAATAAAACGTCAAACAATCAACATAAATCAAACATAAAAACATGTAATTATGCACTACTAATTAGTGTGCATCACACACCCCCACACTTAAACCTTTACTCGTCTCGAGTAAATCAAATCTGGTCCAAGAAGTCCTTAAAATGACAAGAATATCAACACACACATCCACGAGTGTTTTTAGAAACACATAAAGTATATCCCCAAAAATATAACAGTAAAGAGGGTCTTCAACTCCATATTTCTTTAGCAACCTCAACCTTTTTTTTTCGTTACCCTTAGGATCCTGCAGAAATAAAAGAAAATATTTTCTCTCGTTCTCTCATTTTGTCTAGGTGCCCTTTCGGGTTTTTATCACAGCTTCCCACATTTTTCTGTTTTAATCCTCACAACTCACTCTTATTTTTTCTTTATTTTTGCTTAAGTTGCCCTTTCGGGTTTTCAACTTAACAAGCTTTTATAATTTTGTTTTACAAGAATAAAGAGTATGAATGTGAGTATTCCATAAAACTCTCCCCCCAAGCTAATCAAAGCACTGTCCCTAGTGCTTGTGTCTGAGATGAATGTGTTTTTTTGTTACTTTTTGGGAGATTTTGTTGGTGATTCGTGGGTGTGAAGATGAAAAGGGTGAAGAGGAGATGAATGAAATGGGTTTAATTGATGGATGGATGTAGGAGATATGAAGCTTTTGATTTTTGGAAATGGAGGAAATTTGGGGTGTGGTTCGAATGGGAAGACAAAGGGGGGTGATTCAATTTTTTTTTTGAGAAATGGCCTGGTTTTCAAAAAATCGAGATACCCGGCTGGGTGGGGTAGTGTACCCGGTTGGGTGTTTCATCCCAGGGATCGGGTTATGATATTTTCCATTCACCCGGTCGAGTTTCTTTTCCCAAGGGTGGCAGTAGCTCCTCTTTGTGATAACCCGATCGGGTTTCATGAAGCACCCGGTCGGGTATATCAAAATTTTTCGTTTTTATTTTCTGCCCCGCCCGGCTGACAGGGTGGGTGAAGTGTTTTGACCTGATACCCGACCGGTTTGGTAGTGTACCCGGCCGGGTTTGTTTCCGGTTTTTTTTGAAATGTGTAAAAATAAAATAAAACAAGTAAACGTACCTTGCATGGGTTGCCTCCCAAGAAGCGCCTTATTTAACGTCGCGGCACGACGCCATCATTGTGTTCAATCATTTAAACTTGGATCGTGATAGTTTATCTTCGCCACATTTTCACTCCTAGGACTTTAATAGGAATGCTTGATTTTCTGACTCTTCACTTTGAAAATCCCTCTAGGATCAAATTTCCAGATTTTCATTGATTCATGTGGTTGGAGTGAGGGAAAGAAATTATCGTTTAACATGGTCAATGGAAAATGTTTGGATCCCTCAATTTTTCTAAGAATTTCAAAAATGTCACTCTCCTTTTCAATTTTATGAGTTGCCCTCAAAGTTTTTAGAACTGATGGGGGTACCTCAAAGAATGATAAGGATAGATATTTGAAACTCGGTTCATCATCTTCTTTGACCAGCTGGAGCTCCGTGTCTTTTTCTTCTTCCACTTCTTCTGGGTTCTGGATCTCCTTTTGCATTTCCTTTTCCTTTGTCAATGTGATTGCAAAAGTTTGCTGTTTAGGATCACATTCTATTTGAGAAGGAAGTTTTTCCGAATCCCTTTCTTCAAGCCTACTCACGGCTCCGGCTATTTGACTCATTTGAGTTTCCAAGTTTAAAATGCTAGACTTGGTCTCATTTTGGAATTGCACCATGTTGTTTTGCATGGTGGTCATGTTGGTAGCAATAGCCCGGACCATATCCTCTGTAGACATGTTAGAGTTGGAGAACGGATCATACCTCATGTGAGGTACATCCCTTTCGTAACCAACATCATCAATTTGTTCAAGGTATTCATCTTGGAGTTTTGGGCAGAAATCCGTAAGATGCATGTAAGACATGCAAATGTTGCATGTCTTGACATCTTGAACTTTTGAGCTTAAGATAAATTCCTTTATTAGAGAAGTCTAGAAGAAAATTTGACTCTCTAAGGATGAAGTGTTGGTATCCATATACTCATAACTCATGTAAGCTCAGAAAATAGAAGAGTAAGTTTTTTTTAGTATATTTTTTTTTGTTTTTGATTTTTATGAGATAAAATAAAAAGAAAATAATTGCCTTTCCCCGGCAACGGCGCCAAATTTGACGAGCACTTTGTCACGGTGCGTCAAAATAAATTCAATACTAACATTTATACGTAGTATAGCGTAGTAGAGTTCGTATCCACAGGGAAAAGAAATAATTCTCTTTTTATGAACTTAATAAATAAAAAGGGGTTTTTTGGATTTGAATGATTTAAGTTAATTAAGAACTAAGATGAACAACC